GCTTGGAGATCACATTAACAAAAAATCACAAAAAACAAACATTCAGAGATCAAGTAACGGGACAAAGCTTTTCGACGATTATAAACGAAAAATCACGATCTAACGATTATTTTAACTCTGATTTTGATGATTTTTTATAGGTACACTCCTTGACCCTATATGAATACAATGAATGAATTCGATCTTCAATTTAAAATATTTATACAAGTGGATACCACAAAATCTTATGTTGTATTTAATGAAAGTATAAATAAACTCTAAGTGTTAGTTAATCTATCGTTTTGTTGGGATACGAATTCTCCAAAACTAATTTCAACGATCCAAACCGTCAAACTTGTTTGTATATGCTTGGAGATCACATCAACAAAAAATCACAAAAAACAAACATTCAAAGATCAAGTAACGGGACAAAGCTTTTTGACGGTTATAAACGAAAAATCACGATTTAACGGTTATTTTAACTCCGATTTTGATGATTTTTTACAGGTACACTCCTTGACCCTATATGAATACAATGAATGAATTCGATATTCAATTTAAAATATTTACACAAGTGGATACCACAAAATCTTATGTTGTATTTAATGAAAGTATAAATAAACTCTAAGTGTTAGTCAATCTATCGTTTTGTTGGAATACGAATTCTCCAAAACTAATTTCAACGATCCAAACTGTCAAACTTGTTTGTATATGCTTGGAGATCACATTAACAAAAAAATCACAAAAAACAAACATTCAGATATCAAGTAACGGGACAAAGCTTTTCGACGGTTATATACGAAAAATCATGATTTAACGATTATTTTAATATATTTTTATATGGTATAGTGTTATTATTTTATTTCTTTTCATAATTATTTTGGTAAACTTCTCATAATTTGAATGATTTTTAATGTTTGGTTTTTTTATACTTAGTTTATGCGGAAGAGAGTTCTGACGTGGAAAACCTTACTGAAAACATCTTCAACATAACTCTTCAAGGCAATAGATTAAGCCAAAATTTCAATACAATTTCATGATGATCGATGTAAATTGAAGATTTTGTAGATAGAGGTGTAAACTTTTGAGAAAGATTTACAATCTTGAAAACAAAAACTCTTTAATTTTGCATATCCTTGCACATTTAATATTTGTAATATTAGTAGTGTATGTATTATTTTTTTATTAGGCTCTTATTTTCGAATGTAGATATAGTACTTAAACGACAAATGTTTTAATGTTTTGAAGTAATATTTATGTGGCAATGTGTGATATGTGCGAATTTAAAAAAAAATATATTTTTTTCTTAACGGGTCATAACGGGTCAGGTCACTTTACCCGTTGGGTAAAGTGACCCGACCTGTTAAGGACCCGTTAAGATAACGGGTGTGACACGACACGACCTGTTAAGATAACAGGTGTTACACGAAAACGACACGAACACGACAGACACGACCCGTTTGCCAGGCCTATATTTTTGATGTCTAAGAAAGATTGGACCGGCCAAGCTAACTATATGCCGAATATGTAAGGCCTTGACTCAACCCACTGGTTGAAAATTTTCGGGCCAATGAGCGAGTCGCTCTGCTCGGCCCAAATTTTAGTTCTTTAATTATTTTCATTTAATATATAAAAATAGTAAACTTGTTGAGAATTAAATATAAGACTTTTTACTTTAAAAAAATATAAGACTTTTTAATTTTATTAGTTCTCATTTACCATTCCAAATAAGATATTTGTTTGGTTAATATAGCCATTATATATAAGTGTTGAAAAACAAATATTTCAAATGACGAACTTTTGATCCCATCAAAACAACAACACTTAAAAAACAAAAGGCACGTACAAATGATACCAAATAAGCTTTTGGTCTTTGGAGTAATAATTTAATGGGGTCTAATAGTGTATTGGATGCGTTCATTTGCATTTGCCAAAATGAGAAATAATTTAAGGTAAAGAACTTTTGACCTCATAATTACAACAACACTCCAAAAACTAAAAACACGTAATGACACAAAATAAAGAACTTTTGACCTCATAATGAGAAATAATTTAAGGTAAAGAACTTTTGACCTCATAATGAGAAATAATTTAAGGTAAAGAACTTTTGACCTCATAATGACACAAAATAAAACTTTGGCTTTTTGATTGCTCATTTTTTATGGGTCTAATGAGTATTGGATGTTTTCAGTTGCCAAACACTCAAAAACCAAAGCACATGTACAACTGACATCGAATAAGCTTTTGGCCTTTTGATTACATATTTTAAGGGTCTAATAGCATATTGGATTGTTCATTTTCCAAAATGAGAAACAATTTCGAATCCCAAACTTTTGAAACCATCAATCCAACATCACTTTAAAAACAAAAAAATGTCTACAAATGACATCAAAATAAGCTTCTAGCCTTCTGTGTACTTAAATTACACCAAATCATATCGGGTCAAGCCTAAGAATTGAACCTAAAATGCAAGGCCTAAGCCCTACCCATTTATAATCGGGTAGGCTAAAGCCCGACCCTAAGACTGGGTTGAAAAATTAGGGATGGGCTGGCCTATCAGGCCTCATCCCATTTTATTAGTCTATCAGATAGAGTCTTGAGTGTATTCAATTATGATGTTGAAGGATTTTAAAAGAGTTAACAAATTCAGACAATTTTAAATGAATTCATGAAAGTTTAGGGGTATGCAATCAAGATTTTTAAAAGAGTATATAAACTCAAGGTATATTCAATCAAAATTTAAATTTAAATGATTTTAAAAATTAAACGATTTTGATAGATTTAGAGGAATTAAAAAAGATTTTAGGTTTTAGTAAATCATGCATGTCTCCTAAAATTTTTAATGAATTTGTCTAAAGTTCACATGGAGTCTATTGAACTCTGTTAAACTTAAAGAATTTATAACTCTTTTTAAATCCTTCAAATTCTAAATTAAATACACTAAAGTTACTAAGATTAATACCACTTTCTTTTGGGAAAAGAAAAAAAAAAATACTACTTGCTAAACAAAAATCTAGTTATCAACCATCGCATCATATAGCTTTCAAATATGGTCTAAAAAATGATCTCCCTACCATTTTCCTTTATAGAATGCTCTTAATTATTTAATAGATTAAAGCTTAATGTGAATTGGTGTCACAAGGGGATGGTTAATACCATTGGTGCTAATCGTGTCCTCAGAAACTCGTAGGGTATGGGTACCTGGTTTTTACGCTAATCTTGGTTGGGGTGAGATTCTATGTGCTGAATTTTAAAGTGTTATTGGGTTGCAACTTGCGTGGAATAATGAAATTGTTACCGAAAAAGAATAATGGAATTAAGAAGATTATGACGAAATCGAATTTTGCACTTGAAATACAACTTATTAACAATAATGGAATTTGTTTGGTTGCGGACAGGGTTTTTCTGGGTGGGATTCGGGCTTTGATTAAGCGCACTAGATTACGGTTGTCTATGTACGAACGGAAGCTAATTTTGTGACACATAGATTGCCTTGTTATAGTGTACAATGTCGTGAGTCATCGTTTTGGGTTGAAACGAGACCTCCATGGCTAGTGCGTAGTGTCATGGTTGAGTTCAGGGTTGAAGTTCATTTGTACTGTGCATGTACGGTCTCTTTTTCCTTGGCCAAGGTTTATCCCTCTGGTTTACGCGGTCAAGGTTTTTTGCAAGACCTTTCTGATTTACATGCGGTTGGTGTAATTGTTATGATGTTGATGTTGAATGAATTATCCTTCTTCTCCTAAAAAAATAAAAAATAAATTAAAAAAAAAACACTCTATTTTAACAAGCTTTGAATATATTATTATTAACAATTCAAACTAAACCCACTTATTTTGTAAAACAACATTCTCTCTCTTCCTTTTCTCATTGCTCTACACTTGAGTTTTATTATTACTTTTTTAATATTTTGCAAGTGAGTTGTTACACTCTAAATTTAAAGAGACAATGTTCATTTTGCTATAGTAAATACTCCTTTACGTCATCTCATGGAGTTGAGTTCTCTTAATTTTTAAATTTAACTCTTTAAAATAGAATTTTGGTTGTTTTACATAAGGTTGATATGGGGGAGAGATAGGAAATCTTCGCCTATAGCTTGGAACGAATTGTGTAATTCAGTGGACCAAAGGGGATTAGGTATTAGAAGAGTGGATCATTTCAATTTTGTTTGTCATGCTATTAGGTTGGAAAGTTTTAAAGGATGAGAATAATTGATGGGTCCAAGTTGTGAAAAAGAAATACTTAAAAAAGTGTGATTTCCTAGATTGCAAGATTAAGCAAAATCATTGTGGCTTGAAAAGACATTTTAATTAATAGACACATTATTCACATGAGAATGAGGTGGGCGGTGGGTAATGGTAAGGATATCATTTTTTTGACTCATGGATGGGTTTTTCTTTGTCCATTATTCCATCTTATTCCAGTAAGTCAAGGGCAAAACAGTAATCCGAAAATTAAAGTTAGTGATTTTATTGATAATAAGAGTTGGGACAGGGATAAACTCTTGTAAGTTCAGGTAACGGATTTCCCATCGGTTAACAGTTATATCTATTTTCGTCAATACGAAAAATATATTCATTCAATTGACGTGTTATAATTTAGTAAAAATTAATTTCGTCATTAAATATTTAATGTATAAAATGATTGAATGAATGGATTTTATGGAGTATAAAAATTAAAGCTAAACATTAATGATGTTGGTTGATCTTTGATGTCTTCAATAAGTACCATAGAATTCTGATTGATTTTGATTATATCAAAACTTTTGAACTTTCCCACAAAATGCAACTCAAACAGTGCAACTTTTGTATTCTCAAAGTAATAGAATCGGTGAATAATGAATGATATACAATTTTATCTACGTTAAGAAAGTCAAAAAGCGGACTAAACCTTACAATAGACTAAAATTAATGTTGTTTAATTTGTCCTTAAAGATAATAGTATCTAAGACCTCTCCAACCTGTTTCTTTCCTTTCCTATAAATATTTTGTAATGTTTTATTGCGATCACTGGAATTAGGAAACTGATCAACATTGATGGCTCTACTAGTCTTTAGACCATTAAAGCATACGGGTGTAAGTTATCGTTTTGTTTTGGGAAGTCAAGATTGATGGCTCTGCTAGTCTTTTGACTTTTAAAGGATGTGGGTGTAAGTTATCATTTTGTTTACCAGGACAAGGCTCCCATGTTGGGAAAACAGTTCCTTTTTCTTTCTCATATTTGTTGTTTTGTTAGCCTAATTGAATGCTATGTAATTTATTCTGTCTATACAACTTTGACAGGATATTTTGTTAAAATATCTTACATCGACAGTGTATCTGAGAAGTGGATCTCCTTGACCCCATACGATGATGGTGGGTCGCTTGGCCCTGCGTGTATGGTGAGTTCTCTTGTTTCCACGTAGTTGTTGATGTGTGGATCTTCCACTTGTAACTCACTAATTAGGTCCCACGTAAGGGAGCGTCTAGAAATATCCCACATCAACTATATCTCTAAGAAAAGAAGAGTTAAAATATCCTAACCATACTTCAACTAATAGCGAATTATTTTGTGATAAAACTCCACACCTGACAGATTGTGCTGATGGTATTACCAAGTCAGGACAATATTAATGTTATAAGAAATAAGCCTATGACCAGTCTCTAATTCGACACATTTTACCAACCGTGGATGGATATTACGCTGTAACTTGTTCACAAAAGATGGAAGAATTCCATGCCTGTCAACCTCTTTTAGATATTGTTTGAAATGTGGTAGGCAATTAGATATTGTTTGAAATGTGGTAGGCAAGGGACCATCCAAATTGCTTGTCTCATCAACATATAGATTATTTGCGCTTTGAATGGGAAAGAAATATTATGGGGACCAAGTAATGCTAAGAAAAGCACTCACTTCGGATCCCCCTTCTCTTGTTCGGGATCCTTGATAAGCTTATATTTATATATATATATATATTTTATATCAAATTTACTTGTCTTTTTTTAGTTAGTTCCTTATGTTTTTGAGTTGTTTACTTTATTTTTGTGTTTTGTAGGATTTGTCAAGTAAAGAAAAGAAAAATAACACAAGTGGAATTTTAAGTAACAAATTCATCAAAACTGCCTGTGCAGGTCAGCTGACTTTGGAAGCAAGTTGCAGACAGCTCAAAATGAATTAGAGAATTAACCTTATATGCTTGGAAAGCTACAGATGTCTATTTTCTGGAGCATTTCGCGGATTATTAATATCATTTTTCTAGAAGAAGTTATGGTTGTTTTAACACTAAAAGGTTCCCAAGAGACTGAGCAGTTTGTAACTGACAAGAAAGCATTGAAAGCAATAAATCCAATAAATCTAGTCGCCAAAACTGATGCAATCAAGAACAAACCAGCTGACACCTATTCAAATATCAGAGGAAATGGAATTAAAGATGAGGATTAAGAGGGAGTAATTGGCATAAAGGCTACCCAAGGAGTTACAATTGTTTTAGCATCTCCTTTCACTTATTGTCATGACTAAATGGCTGTTAGTGGGGTGAGTTATGGAGAAAAAACTGTGGCAGCAGAAAAGAAGAAAAGACCTACAATTTGCAGCAGCAAAGGGGGAGAAAAAGTCTGAAAAAAAGATAGAAAAAAAAAAAGAGGGAAAGCAAGGAAAAAAGGCAAGGCTGCTGCGTTGGGGAAGGAAGGAAAGGAAGGAGGAAATCTTGGCATTCTCTTCTTTCGGTTTTATCTTCTCAAACTCATGTCTTTCTTTTGGTTTAATTTGAGAATTATGTGTAACTAATTTTTAGTAGTTAGGGGCTGTTTTGAAGCCCCGAATATGATTGCAGGTTTGTTATGACAATTTGTTTGAATTACTTTTATGAATGGATGAAAATTGGTTCACTACTTGTCTCATTGATGAATTCTTTATGTGTTTTCTACGGATGCATTCTTAGTAAGCATATCTAGGATTCTAATACTATGAATATATGTGTGCATGCCCTTGTCAAATGAGGACCTACATATGTTCTAGAGTAGTACTTATTAATTGTGATTAACATGTGAACCAATTTCTAGGATAAGTAAGACAACACCAGTACTTACGATGCCTTGTGATGACTCAAACTCTTTTCGTTCTTAATGATTTCTACTTGTTAAATCTATGGACACACCATTCTAGATTGCATGTTAGGGACTAAGTTAAGTTGAAAACGTCATTCTCTTAACATACTACATAAGAAAGAGTAATAGGTTGAGTTCTAACATTAAGCCAACTTGAGCATCTTCATCTAAAACTGAAAGGAATTTGAATGAAACATAACATGTTTGCATGATTATTTGGTGGTGGATAGCAATTCCCCTAACTCGTTTTTCTTAATTTGTGAACTACTTAAAAATCTGTTTTTGTCCTGTTTTTGTTCGATTTAATTTAAATAGCAAATTAACTCCAAAATCCCAAAAATTTGTGTGAGTGTAGCTCTATGTGTCTAGTATCTGCATATAAAATGTTGTAGACTTTAGATAAGTGTAAGCTGGTCTAATAATTATTTTTCGGTGGCTGGTCAGTAGGGACAGCAGCCCAGTTTTTGTGACATTTTAAGTAGTTAAATAAAACAATCTTCTGCGGAAAAGACCTTATTTTCATATGCTACAATTGACAAATATTATTGTTAATAAGGAAAATTAATAGGACATTTGTGTGCTATTTTGTGGTGTGCTTTTAAATCCTATCAATCCTCACCACCACCCCAACCCCAGCCCGCCCCCCTGCGGGGTAGTTGGAATATTGAACAGAGATTGTGATGGCCTTTTCTAGAGGGATCTGAATGTATTCTTTCCACTGGGATTTGTTTAAAGATTGTAACTGTCAAAATGTGTAATCACAATGCTAGTTTTTCTTTGTTACGACTCCTGCCACTTGAATTTTTAAACTCGTTTTTCTTTGTTAGGACTCCTGCCACTTGAATTTTAAACTCGTTTTTCTTTGTTAGGACTCCTGCCACTTAAACTTTAAACTCGTTTTTCTTTGCTTGTCAACTCAAAATGCTAACTTTTCTTATGATCGTGTTTGAATGGATATTTAATGATGTGTTTAGTGAGAAAGGAAGCCCAAGAACACAAAAGGCAAACGGACAATTGGGCTTCGACAAGTCGACAACCCATGTAGAATTAAAAATCATTTTTGCCATGAAAGAAGCAACAAGCCTATGTGAGAAGTGACACTCAGAGGGCATCTCACCTCCACCAAAAAGAACTTTTCAAGGGCATGGACAGGTAAATAAGTGGTGACTTACCATGTTCTAGAGGCCATCTCCAAAAGACAAGGCTTGGACAGTCGGGTTAAAAAGTCTATAAAAGCAGCAAGGGATACTAGACACAAAGATACTCAACCAATCAATCAAAAGACATCCAACTTTGCTCTCAGACAAGCAAGAACTCAGAAACCTTCATTTTGTCCAGACTCTATCTTTTTAATCATAGATCCACCATAGAAATCCATCTTTTGTCAAGTTTTAGAAGCTCTGCTACCTTTGCCTAGTATTGTAGTATCGAATCCCTTTAATAAACCCGATTTACATCTCATTCTCCAAAGATTACAACCCATGTTAAAACACAAAGAGAAGAGGTTGCAAGAAGATGAACCTTGCCTGACAAGGTTATAATATGCCCCGAGTTTCTTTTGTTTGTACTTACATAAAGTAGATATGTTGTTTAATGTATCTTCCATTGTGTTTTAAATCAGTTTCAACTACTTTTCGTTCAAAGTTTCATCTATGATTAATCTGGCTAAAATAATAAACCTTGCTTCTTTAGTATTAATTGTAATAAAAGAAATTGTTGGAAAGGCCCTGAACTCCTTTTATTTGGACATACGATATTATGAGTAAAAGTCCTTGCTTACAAGGCAAGAAAAAGAACCTTATATAGACTTAACCAATATGTAACAATTCAATAGAATCAAGAAGTCTAAGTAACTTGAAGCATAAGTAATCAACCCAGTTTATAACCAAAAAAGAACAATCTATTATACAAAGATGACAGTGACATGCTCTGATCCATATTAGTTTTGATTGTGAGCCTCAAGGCCTAACAAAGGCCCCACAAAGGCACCATTTAAACTACTAGCAAACTCATATTGTAAAACACCAAGCAACAAACCTTGCCCGACATGCAAGACCAAAGAGGAGTTGTGCGAGGGATAGATCTAGCCCGAACATTAATTTTGGCATACCTAGTGGGACCTATTTTGTGATATTGTATGCCAAGACAAAGGAACAATCAGACGTTTAGGTGGAATGTGCAATTTGGGCAACCTCTCTGTCCAACATAAGCAGGCACAACAAATCACCTAGAAGATTTTCCTTCACTGCACATCCCAGGATTCTTATAGAGCCCGACCTCTTCTAAGAGGACGGGTGGAAAGATGACTAATGAAGATTTGCAAGCCACTAAGTATTGTGGAGTATGGAGAAGATCTCTTAGGAAACCAGAGGAGAAGTTAGTAGGTTGTGTTCCTTAACATAAATGCTACAAAGAAAGTTGGAGATAAAGTACTCCACACTGAATGATGGTTACATCATGGAAATAATCATAGAGGCAAGCCCGGAAAAGGAACAAGCAATTCCTTTGTTTCCTTTACTTGAAGAAAATAAAAACAAAGGGAAAATGAAGGAACAAGCTGAAACCAGTCGGCAAGAAGAAGAAAAAAAGATTTAAGAGACAAGCTTGCATGATCATCTGCCACCTCTACCAGATGTTAGAAGGCTGGTTGGGCAGGAAAAAATAAAAATTGGTGTGTCTAACTCGATGGGACAAAAGCAGATCCAGTTTTTCTAGAGCAGGGATGGCTGTAATGAAGCCATTTGTACGGCTGTGATGGGAAACAAAGGAGAAAAGGGATCAGAGGGAAGAGGGCAAAAGCAAGGAGGAAAAGGAGGTTAAAGAGAAAGAAAAAAAATTTGTTGGGGGGGGGGGGGTGGGGGGGTGGGGTGTGGACGGGAGTTCTTCCTGACCCAACCTGTGACAACAATTCGGTGTCAAATTGCGGTGTTCCACGGTGGAATTTCCGCCATCCCTCACTTGGAAATACCTACCTATCCTATCCTCTACCATTTTCACCCAAAATTAGGAAAAGTTTAGTTGAAATTTGGTGGAAACTCACCATGGGTGCCGCGGGTATCCTTAGCCGAAATCCATCAATTGTGAAATGTTTTCCTCCAATTACCACCATGACTAGACTTCCCTTGAGGCCTAGAATAAAGCCCAAACAACTGTAGGGGCGGCAGAGCACCGAAGGTGACGATTCGAGGCCACTCATTTATAAGGTTTCCGGCGGGTTCGAGGCAAATTGGAACCTTTCCAGGCCAACTTGGACTTGGCCGCATGTATAAAGTTTGCTCTACTCTCTAAGATCTTCATTTTCTATAATTTTTGAGAATTTTTAGAAATAGTTGAATTTTTCGGCGAGTTGGGGCGGCTGACCGCCAGCCGCGGAGGCGGGTGCAGTAAGACATAGCCAGGAACATGTAGTAACGTTCCTTGACTTTCTCCTTGATTTTGTAGCAACATTCCCAAATTCACAATGATCTGCAAGTTCAGTTTGGAGGAACATGTATACATTAGATCTTGGGTGTCTCTTGATTTTGCAGGCTCTCCCCATTTCAGCCATCACCAATCCAACCTCCCCCCGTTTCAACCATTACCAATCTGTTTCATTTCTCCATTGGTTTTGCAGCCGCCCAATTGGGTGTCTCTTGTTGCTGATTTCCACAAGCATATACCTGTGCAACTCGAGAATCTTGTGTTCGAACCTGACAACAAAGATTGAAACTCACTGCCTTGCTGGGTTGTGGTGGTGGATCGGCTTGTATAAATTGTACGGCTCCCAGAGGTGGTCTGGTA